TTTATTGATAGGCTGTTATTCTAGTTAGAGCTATATCTTTTTATTTCTCAGCCAAATCCAAATTGGCCTTAAAGGTTTTTTCATTTCCCTGTTTTGACCCAAGCTTAACTTGCAGGCTCGGGCGCCCAATCTCTACTGGTACTATGATCTCTACCCCAAATGCAAAAATGGAATGGCATCATTCCAATAAGGACTTTAGTAGTGGTTTTAAGGGCCCATAATACACCAGGCAATTTGTCTGCCCATTTACCTTTAGTTTCATTTAACTTCTTTTTAAAGGCTTCCAATATAGTTTTGTTAACCGCCTCAGCTTACTTATTGGATTAAGGGTGGGTGACTAAAGTGAACTTCATATCGATGTGAAGATTTGCACACCATTCCTTAAACCTCAAATTGTCAAATTATTTTTCATTGTCTGTTATTATGGATCGAGGTAAGCCAAATTTACATACTATGTTCATCCAAATGAATTTTTCAACTTTGACTTTTATAATGGTGGCTAGGGCCTCTACTTGAAGGCATTTTGTAAAATAATCAACCATTATGATTACAAATATTCTTTATTCTATGACTGGGGTGAATGGGTTGAATACATCCATTCTCTATTGCATAAAAGGCTAAAGATTGATAATAAGGACCAACTCGATTAATGCAAGGTGTTGTATATAGGCAACATTCTAGCATTTGTCACATTTTTTTACCAGGTTGATCACATTCTTTCTAATAATTGGCTAGTAGTAACCTTAGCTGAGTACCTTGTAAGCAAGTGGCCAGGGTTCGAGGTGATTGCCATAAATTCACTAATGTATTTCTTTTACATAATTTGCCTCTTCATCATCCACACATCTAAGGTAAGGCAAACTAAAAGATCTCCTATATAATTTTTCGTTGATAATGACATACCAAGGAACTTTTCTCATCAAAGCTTTAACTTGAATCATATCCTCGGGCAGTTCTCCCATTGTCAAGTATGTTTTAATCGGGATCATCCATAATTTTTTCTTTTTAATTTGCTCTGCACTAGCTCTTCCACCAAAACATGAGCTAAGCTCTCCATCGTCATTCTCGAGGTTAGCTTATACAATGAGTCAACCAGTGTATTTGTTGACCTTGGTATCTTTCTAATTTTGGCCTTAAAGAAGATGGCTAGATAAATTAGTGCTTTATTTAGGTATTTTATTCCTTCTTCTTTGGCTCAAAATTCTTCATTTATTTTGTCAACCATTAGTTAGAAGTCACTGTTGATAATGATATTCTTCACATTCGGCTCAGTCAACAATCTTAGGCTGTTGATTAGGGCCTCATATTTGGCCTTATTGTTGGAAGCTTTGAACTTAAACTTTAGGGTGTATTGAAGTTGTAAGTCTTCTAGACTAATCAAAATTAGGTTGGCCTTACTTTTATGGTTGGTAGTTGACTTGTCAATAAAGAGTTTCCACGTTTCTTCTTCTTTAACTTTTTTAGCCTCATAAGGCTGTTTATTAGTTTTGACCAGAGTGCATTCCATAACAAAATATGCTAACACCTATGATTTTAGAGCTAACTTGAGAAGTATGTGCAAGTCGTATTCACTGAGTTCTATTGTCCATTTGATTAGCCTTCTTGACAATTCTAGTCTTTGTAAAATTTGCCTAAATGGTTAGTCAATGAGGATGTAAATTGTGTGAGCTTGAAAATACGATCTAAGTTTTTTGGCCAACATGACTACTACATAGGATAATTTTTTTTATTTTGGCATAGTTTATTTCCAATCATGTCAACACTTTACTTACAAAATATATCGACCTTTGCTTTCATTATTCTTTTCTAACCAATACTGAACTGATAGCTTGGTTGATTATAGCCAAGTATAAATATAGTATCTCATGGGGTTTAAGATTGGAAAGACTAAGAGAAGAGGAAATAAACTCTTTGAGCTTTTCAATTGTTTTTTGACACTGGGGTGTACATCTAAAGTGTGAAATGTTGCTAAAGATTTTGAAAAATAGTAAGCATCATTTTACTAACCTGGACATGAATTTGCTTAAGGCAGTTAATCTTTCAATTAATCATTGCACCTATTTCACTAAGGTCGATGCTTTAATGTTAATGATGGCCTGAACCTTTTCTAGATTTGCCTTTATACCTCTCTTGTTGATCATATAACCATGGAGTTTTCGTAACATAATGCCAAAAGCTCATTTGCTTGGGTTTAGTCTCATATTATATTTTCTCAAGGCATTAAAGGGGCTTTTCTAGATCTTTTTAGTGTTTGGTCAAGCTTTTGCTCTTCACTATCATGTCTTTCACATATACTTCCATGTTTCGATCAATTTGATCCTTGAAAAGCTTATAAACTAACCTCTGATAGGTCGCTTCTACATTATTCAGGCAAAAAAACATGACCTTATAATAATACAAACCTTTTTTTAGTAATAAAGGTTATTTTTTTCTTATCCTTATTTAGTATTTTGATTTAATTATAGCTTGAATAAGCATCCATGAAACTAAGTAGGCTGTGCTTGGTGTTTTCATCAATCAGCTGATCTATGTTAGGGAAAGAAAAGTTGTCTTTTGGGCAAGCACTATTGAGGTTAGTAAAATCGATGAATATTTTTCATTTTTTATTGTACTTTTTTATTATGATCGTTTTGGCTATCTAATTGAGGTAACATACTTCTCTAATGAAAACTACTTATAGCACTTTACCAACCTCTTCCACGATAGCCTTTTGCTTATACAAGGCAAAGGTCTTTTTATTTTGTTGAACTAGCTTAATGTTTAGGTTGGTGTGCAACCTATGGACCATCTCTTCGAGATCAATCCCTTCTATATCTAATGATGTCCTTGCAAACAAGTCAGCTTTAGTTCTTTATAGCTAAATTAATTATCCCTTATGGTCAAGCTTGACCCAAATTTGCATATATTTTTTAGGATTATTCACCCAGAATGATACAGAGACAAGGTCCTCTGTCGGTTTTGGTCTGTTATCATTGACTTCAAGTCTCTAGTCAATTATTCCTTTCTATTTAGTTAGGTCGAGACTATATTTTGCAAGAAGGATGGATCCTAACGTAACAATTAATTTTTTATTGGTAGTAAAATGGCATGTAGTGGAAAAGTATATCTAAATTAAAATGTACATTTGTATTTCAAATTTTCTCATGGTTGGATTAATAGCTCAATCTTGTTGACAAGTGTGTATGCTAGTTTGAGAGCTTGACTTCTGTAAATCTATTCAAAAATTGAAAAAGTTTATGGCTTGTACAAGTATATAGCTTAAGAGCTTAGTGCAGTTTAAAAATGCGCTTCTTTTTCATCGATTTCTTGCCACTTCTTACCAAGGTTGCTTTACTTTGCTTCTTTCACTTCCTTAATCTTTACATCATCACCTTTGTCTTTGTTGGCTTTTCTTCTTTGGTTGAATTGTCAATTTACTTCCCAGTCATACCCTTCATCATCATAACATAACATTGCCGCACTATGGACTAGTTTCCTCTAACCTTTTCAATCTTGTTCGATGTTGAAAACTTAATCTTTAAGTGAGGAGTTAAGCCTATTAGTCGTATAACAAACAACCTAGGTCAACCTAGAATCATGTTGAAGGCTAAGGGCAAATTCACCATTATAAATTCAATAACCAAGGTGATGCTCTTCAACTCAATGCCCAATATGATTGGCAACTTGATTGTCCTCTTCACTAGCACTTGTTAATTCTCAAAACCGTTCAAAGTGGTAGTAAATGGCTTCAACATTTCTTCATTTATATCCATTTTTAACATAGTGACATAGTACAATACGTTAGTTGAACTTTCACTATCAAATAGGATTCTTTTTACCACGTGGTTGTATACTACAGTAGTAACTATTATTACATCATCATGAGAGAACTAGATCTTAATCTCCTATGGTCATTAGAACGTTGAAGTGAAAATTTCATGTATACCAATTTGTATATTCAAATTTTGTATGTTAAGGTAACTTAATGCATGGTGACAATTTTTTAATTATGATTTGCAAGTTTAAATTTTGGATGTTGGTATGACTTGATGCATTGTTTTTAGAAATTGAAATTTTTTATTATTTTATTTTAAGAATTGAAGAACACTTTATTTCATTATATTTTGTTAGAATATTTTATTATTTAATTTAATTCTTCAACTTTTTTAATCTTTATATTTTAATTTACAAGGTAATGTTTTTATTTTCAAATAGATTTAATATTTTTATATGTTTGAAACACTAAGAAAAATATGATGAAAAATATGATGTAAAGTTAATTTTGTTAATAATGTTATTAATGTTTTGCACAAAACATCAAATTCAATCATATGTTAAAATTATAATATAATTTTTCAATATTTGAATTATTTTTGTATTAGAATTAAAATTTAAATATGGAGTAACTACAATAATATATTGTAAATGCTTATTTTTATAATAAAATCATATGTTATATTAACAATATTATTTTAAATTTTTATTGATAATTATTTAAATATAACAAGGATTTTTGTTAAAAATGATTTGATATTGATATTTAAAGTGTTTCAAATTAAAATTTTCTCAAAAAAAAAAAAAAGGGAGTGCTTTAAATTAATTTTATTTCATAATCTAATTTAAGGATTCAACATTAATGTTATTGATAACACATTATTTAAAAATTTAAAATTTTTGGTTAAAATTTTTATTATTATTTATTTATTTTCAAATAAAATCATACAATTATAGTTTAGGTTTATTTGAATTATAAATTCGGATTTTTTAGATTTCAGTTTGATTTGATATTCATATTTAAAGTGTTTCAAATTAAGTTTATTTCATAATTTAATTTTAAAACTCAACATTAATTTTATTGATAATACATTATTGTATAACACTTATAAAACATTTTTAAAAATTTAAAAATTTTAATTAAAAAGTTTAATATTTATTTATATATAAAAAAATCATATAATTACAGATTGAATTTTTATTATAAATTTGATTTTTTTCAGATTTCAAATCAAAGTAATCTCGAATTCAATTCAAATCTCTATGTATTGGAGCATTGATTTTGTACTTTTTCAAATTTGGATCGCCTTGAGTTCAATTTTTTTTTTCTTTTTTAATCCAGTTTCTATCAAGTTCGGGAGAGAATACAGACATTTAGCGGCATTTCCAAATTTTTTTAGTTCAGTTTTTATCGGGTTAGGTCACAGATCAGATTTGCCAACTCTATGGACGCGCAGTAGCCCCATTTAAATGAAGCCTAGTTTCCAATGATCCAATTTTGTTTTACAATTAATGCGGAACAACATGCATATAACAATTATTTTACTTTCAGTATTCAGTGAACCAATAAGAACACCACTGGACTTGCAATGAAAGGAGCAAATTGGCCCCATTCTCATTGTTAAAACCAATTTGTATAATTTACAAACAAAAGCTCACTCTCTCTCTCTATCCCTAAATAATGTATGGACAATTGAAGACATCGTTTCAGTCCAGATAAAAGAGAGTAACAATTTTCCGGAGACTCTTGGCTTCTTGGCATGTTTCCATGAGCAACTTGCTATCATGGAAGGCAAAGCAAATAACTTGCTGTACATGTGAAATGATGTCCCTATTACACAGCCTGCAAATTTGACCATAGACACCATGTCAGATAAAGAATCCAGTAGCAAGAAACTATTGCATAGTGACAAACTAGGGATAATGATGAGTTTCTGCTTGTCACCCAAGCTTATCAAAGCTAACAAGCTCAGCTTAAGTGAAGGAACATTAGGAACATTGGTTGCACGCAACTTCTAAGTTTCACAAGTGAAATCCAAGATATAGAATCTCCAACTATAAACCCTACTGCTAAGTTTCACAAATATAAAAAACAAGGGCAGTGTAATACAGAATAGTTTGTTCTATAAAAGAACTGCCTTATCATTCAACCATGTAAATAAGCAGCTCAAGAATTCACTGCCAATAAGTTAATAGAATGTCCAGAATCAGCTTCCCCCATTAGATCTTATCACTGGTTCATTATATTTACCTTGAAACCTAAAACTTAAGATGATTCTACTCTACAGGTGCACTGAAAAGATAACTGGATGAACAAAGTTATAAAAAACCTGCTGGCTTCTATCAGAGGTAGATGATCATTATAAGGCTTCTCTATCACAGTCTTCACCTGAAAAATTGAGAATAGAACATTAAATTCACCCCAAACAACAATATGTAATTTCAATTTCGCCTACAGAATTAATTTGAGATCTTTAGTAAAAACATGTTTAAAACATCTAATTTACAGTGCTTAATGATCTAACAACACAGAAGGCATCGAAACTCTTCACTAATACCACTGGCTCCCTGTGCTTGGACCATGGTGGCAACAATCTTCTATACAGCAATAAAATCCAAGCATAAAAACTTAGGTCATGTTTGGTGCAGAAGATGATGGATAGGATAAGATGATAATCATCCTATATTATGTTTGATTTGTATCTAAAGAAAGGGGTAGGATTACGAGGACAATTAATCATCTTCTTGGTATAGGATATTTCAATCCTCTCAAAGTAGAGAGGATAATTTTTAATCTATGAGATTGAACTGACAAATCCTATTATACCCTTAAAAATTATATCAATAATTTAAATTGTATAAACTTTGAGGAAGAATAATTTTGACCAATAAATAAATTATCCTATACTAATCCTTGCACACATCAAACACAAGATAGGATGACATTATTTAATCTAATCCTATTCATAATATCATCTTATCCTATCCTATCATAATCTTGTGTACCAAACACATCCTTATAACTTGTGTTGCATTTAAGCCCCAACACCTAAGCCAAGGATCTCTTTGATCAAGTTTTATAGCAAAATTACAACAATGAGAATATGAAACAAAAATTGTCAAAAAAAATCACATTCTTACATATGTAATGCAGAAAAGAAAAATAAAATATTGAATTTGCCTTACTAGTGATAAAGTAATCCACTCAAAATGTGTCTTCTAGAACATTAAGGACTAAAAATGAAATTTTCAATAAAAATTTCAAATGCCTATGAGCCTTAAGAACTAAATTTTCTCCTCATTACTAAATGAAATAATAATCTATTACTTAGTGCCTGATACAAAAGCCATATCATCATTAAGTTACTGCAAGCCTAGTACTAGTGAAAAAAGATTAGAACAGATACTTGAGAGATCATCTGTGGCCACAAGCCACATTCCACATTGATAGTGCAACAGGCAAATCCTTGGTATATGATAGTTTCCAAAGGACACCAAAAGCAACTCAAGTTAGAACTTCCAATAGACAGGCCTGTGGTGTTGCATCAGTAATGCTTCAACATAAGAAATGAACATGATATAGCTTGAGCAAACTGAGTTTAAAACAGCACAGCCTTTCAGGTTTCAAGACCTAATTATGAATTTTCACTAGAATCTCATTCGATGGATATTAAAAGCAACATGTTTACTCATTAAACAAACGAATCTAACAAATGTAAGGAAATTAGCAACATCAGACAAAGCCATAATAATTACCAATGGCACGGGCAACAAGTTTTCTAAGGATGAGTTAAATGCTATTATGACATGCTTACCTTTTCTAATAATTCCTGACTCTCAGGTGGTTGTTTCTTCAAGCTCTGGGGCAATATTACTGTAAGCAACTCTGGTTTCTCTGCTCTTAAAGCACCTCTGATAACAGCTGCATTAGTTCCTGATGCACCTGATGTATAAATATGGTTTTTCTGCAAGCAATGTTAGCAGCAAGGTCAGGAACAAAACAATATTAGGTGCAAACACATAATTTTTCTTGGAGAACAAGGATAGTGAGACTCCAAGCATTTCAGCAAGCAATAAGTATCCATGGTGCCACATATAGAAAATGATAAATGAAAACTTGAAGTCATGGCATCTTACAGTTATAACTAATGCATAGCTAAGAATCTCAATAAGCTCTTGGTGCATGAATCCCATATTCCGTGTCCCAAAAAACCCAATGGATCTAGGCCCTTGTTGCTGAATTGCTAATAATTCCTGCATAAATATATGACCATAAATAGAAGTTAGCAATCAAAACAAATTCGAAAGTACTAAAATCAGCAAATGGTTGCTAGCTGCAACAAAGACATTGGCTAAGACATGAATTGCATACCATTTATGATTAAAGGTTAAAATCAAATAGCCAAAGGTCCTCTGATCATCTAGTTATAATTAAACCAGATACATTTAAGTTAAAGAAAATAGATGTGTTCTGAAACTTTCATTTCACAAGCAACCTAATTTTCTTGCAGAGCTGTATATCATGAAACAAGGTTCTCACAAAGAGACAAAGGTAAAGACATTTGCAAAATCCATTATAACCAACAAATTACAGGCATGGTAGTGGCATCCATAGGACGGGCTCAGTTCTTTACTGCCATCCCCATAAATCAAAACAGACACAACTTTCAACTTAAGTGATACTGTCCCATAGACAACTTACATACCTGCAAATAATCCACATCAGGAACAGGTTTCAACTCTGAAACAGTAACTGCCCCAGATCCTTCAGCAATAGATTGGGCTTGTGTTGGAATCTGTGTCCCTGTATCTTCATCAGAACTGAATAAGCACATGTTACTCTCCTCGTCATATCTATAGCCATCAATCTCTTGATCCCCTCTTCTATGTCCAAAAAGCCACTATACCAGTACATAAAAACATTCCCTGACAGTAAATCATTAGTGAAAACCAACTGCCCACAAAGAGTGGTAATCAGCCAAGAGCTCCTCAGATTAATTTTCAGACTTGTTGAAAGTCAAGTATCCTTCAATCAATATAATTGCATATGAAAGAGGTATCTAGATATGCAAAACATTCAATTTAGACATAAATTCAACAACTTGGATGGAAAATTGTTCTTGTTAACTTAATATGAAAATTTGTGAAAAGAAATAATGTGATGCAGATTAGATTGGTGTTGCCAGGTAATACTACAATACTTACTGGATACAAGAAGAATGAGTAATGAGACACAAACTTTCAAAGTTAGAGAACCAATCGAATGAATTGGACAAACAATTCAACTTTCTTGCCCAAGCAACTTATTAATTCAATTTTAAAAAGCAAGCAGCCCCATGGAGCATTTGCACTAAAAATTAGGGTATCATTTTAATGTTCAATAAAACTTATCACAGGACCTTAATTAAATACAATATGCAAGATCTGATGCCTTGAAATTTTGCTTTTTCAAGAAAAGGAAAAGAATCCTCATAATATAGACCTAGGATTTTACATGCTCTTTTCTATTAATTCGGAGAAAATGCAAATTCAACAGCAATAAACAGGCAAGCAAGGAGCACCAACAAAAAGATTTTTCTTGCTGTTAATCAACCACAGAATTGCTAACAAAAATCATTTTTTCTTATTTTTCACAAAAAAAAAAAAAAAGCACTTCCCTGTTTTCTATTTTAATATTTATCTTGCTTGTCACTTAGGCACACCGCATTACAAACATAATTATGTCATTACCTTCCAATAGCAACTAAAATATTTGGAGTAAAATGGAACCTATGTCACAGTCCTTGATAAAGATGTCATAAGCCCATAGAATCATAGAAGATCATGCCTAACATCTCCCTCTCTTTAACTTAGTATCTAACTTATTAGGGGTGCAATTTCTCCTGTTCCCAATGGTAAACTGCCATCCCCACCTTGTTCAGTTCAAGGATGGTTCTCAAGGGAATTTGGTGGGGCTGCAGATTATCATTTATCACCAGGAATGCAAAGGATTCCATCCCCGATATTTCCAAAAAAAAATGTATTTTTTTATTAACATATTTTACATATTATAATTTTAACATGTCCCAAACCTACCCAATTCCATTGATACGATTTACCATCTTACTATCTAGGTAGTGATAAACGATATATAGATGCATATGCAAAGGTGCCTACCATTCATTGAACACCATTATCACCCTTACCGTTTCCTATCCAATGATATGACTACAGGGATCTAAGTAAAATCACATTCATTGACAATCAACTTACCTAGGCGATACTCTAGTTGGAGTTACAGCTACTAATAACCTAAGTGTTCATAACTTGTTTTTCGACAACATATTGCTAGACAATTACTGCTACAATAGGCTCATATGCAGATACTTGTCTCCCCATTTTCAAAATATTTTTCAATGGAACCTTACGAATATAATTGATCCAAATGACATGTTTTGCTTCTTTTCTCTAAGCATCAGTCGTTACATATTTGACTCCATATATTCATAATTCAGCTAGTTTTAGTCAATTATAAGGCAACAGTCAATACTATAAACACTACAAAAATGAAGAAGTAAACGTATAAAAAAATTAAAAACTTTTACCCCTTACTATTTAAAGAAATAAATGATTAACATTCTCCTTATACAATTAAAAAAAAAAAAGAATAAACTTTCATCCCCTTATTAAAAGAAAAAAAAAACTATAGGCTTAACTCAGAGCAAGGCTACAGAATTATGATTGAACAAATAACACAAGCTTCAATATCTAATAATTTTAAGAAAGACACAAGCAGAAACTGAAAGCCCCACCTTCAGAAACAAGTTAATTTTCCAATTAAAAAAAAAAAAAAACAGAAAGAAGAGATTGAGATGATAAAAACTTTATTGAGAATACCTTGTGCTTGGAGAAAGAATGTGGGTTTCTTCTGGCAGGACATGGGAGACGAGAATGAGAGAAGAAAGTGAAATTAGGGTTGGGAGAAGAGAGAAAAGAAGAGCAATAACAATAAGAAGAAGAGGGAGTTCTGGTGGGAGTGGCTAAAGGCAAAAGCAGCCTCATTGGTAATGCTATTATGTTCATTTGCTTATTATTATGTTTACCAACCGATTTTTTATTTTCTTTGTTTCTGGGCGGCTTTTCTTTCCCTCGTCCCTCCGCCTACCCGTAGCTGCAGCAGTGTTGTACAATCCTTGAGATTTTTCCTTTTTATCGCTTTTTTTCCATAAAAAGGTTTGTGAAAGAGAAAAAAGGGGTTGGCTTTTTTAAAAAAGAAGGATTTTTCTTTGGGAAAATTTCGTTTAGCGTCGAGGAATGTAAACAAATTAATGGTCAACGGTTTTATTGATTATAAGTACTATTTGTGCCATATGGGTAACTTATATATATTTTAAGTGTAATACAATATTTATTTTGGAGACAAAAAAAAAAGCTAATACTGGCTCCTCGATTCAATCTAGGAAAAAAAATCAAAGCTCTTGATTTTGTGTATGAAAAAAAATAAATTTAGATAGAAATGATTTTATGGAATAATTAACAATTAACTAACACATATATTGTCAATGCAATTTAAGCTTAGTGCTAAAGAAGAATCCTCAAAATTTTAAAATTTTAAATTCAATTTTTATTGTGTATGAGTTTAATTGATTAATTAAAATATAATTGATTAATTAATTATTTAATGATGTAATTTAATTATGATGTAATAATTAATTATTTAATCGATTATATAAATGTAATCCTTGATTATTAGTGAAACTTTAAAAAATAACACATATATTAATTTCAAAAAAATAAACAAAATTTAATTATGATGTAATAGTTAATTATTTAATTTATTATATGACTATGATATTTAATTATAAGTTTTAAAAAATAAATAACACATATATTAACTTTAAAAAAATGAATAATATATTAATTGATTATTTAATTATTTAACTTGATTATAATGCAATAGTTGATTATTCAATTTATTACATAAATATAATATTTAATTATGAATATAACTTAAAAAATAAATATTAGCTTAAAAAAAATAATACATGAATCTCTTGTTGATTTTTTCTTTTCTCTTTCAGTTTCAATAATACATTTCATTGAAACTAATTTATCTCAAAAAATCTAGAATGAGTGTGAGATCAACCTCTATCCACCATTGATTTTATTCTTTTCTCTTTCACTTTCGGATTACACATGCAGTTGAACCCAATTTGCTTCAAAAAAACTAGATTGAGGTTGGAGTTATTATTTCGCAATGCAAGCATCCTAAACTTATGATGATTTTTTTTTTAATTCTAAAATTATGATGATTAAAATATGTACAAAATTATTTAATATATTTTATATGTAATATGCTAAATCACATATGCATTCAATTAAAATACTATATACATTTGTTAGGGACATTTTATGATCAAAATGATATAATAGTTTTTTGCAATAAAAAAACGATTCACTATCGATCCGGAAACATTTTGGTCATTAGGTTCGAACTAACATGATAGGTCAACATTATTTCTTGGAGTCTATATCAATTCTACCAGTTCTGTATCTCACATGACAACATGTAAACATGCAAACTTGTCATTTCCTTATTAGACATTTTCTTGCCATGTGAAGTTAAATCGACCCCGTCACCCCCAAACCTAATTTTAAAAGCTCGAATTATTAGGGTCCAGGCACTTTCTATTTTAAGTATAAATATCCCAATTCTCAGTATGGACAATAAATTCTTTACACTCTCTCTAGATTTTTTTTTTTTTAATATTAACTTAAGCATTGGAGTAGAAATGCTAGAGATGCCTCTAATATTTATTCATGATCAATCTCCGATCTCTAGTCTTATTTGGTTTCAGGTCTTTATCTTTCAAGTTGAACTAGGCAACAATATTTTGGCATGCCAGGTAGGGGGACATCACTCAACAAAGTTCATAATGCCTCCAAGGAAAAAAACCACCAAAAAGGGAGATCATCCCACTGTGGCTAGAATAGATACTCAACTTAGCCAACCCAAGCCAGATTGACCTAAGCAAGTTGCACCTACATTAGAACAATTTGAAGCTTTGACCCAACAGTTACAATCCCTCAAAAAATTTATCCAAAACATAACACCTTCACAAACTTCTAAAAAATCAATAGTCATAGCTAAGAAAACTTCAAACCCAGAAACTATCAACCCAAGAAGATGGTGAATTGGCTTTAGATGATGAAGATACTCCAAAAAGTTACTACCCAACAACTCCAAAACCTAAACTATGAAAGCATCTAAACAAGCCTCCTCAGAACACCTAGCTAATAGAAACTTGGAAGCTCGAATGGAAACAATGGAAAATGAGCTTAGGAATAAGACTTTTGTATTTGATGACAAACTTAAATTCCTAGATACCTCACCATTCATCAAGAACATGAACTGAGTTATTTTCCTTAAAGGCTTTAAAATGCCAGCCATTGAAACTTATGATGGTACTACTGATCCTTTTGATCACCTTAAACTTTTTAAGACAAACATGTTGATACACAGTGTCATTGAATGAAGGTTTTGCTACCGTGCTCAGAGAGGTAATTCAGTCCTAGTATTTTAACCTTGAGCACAGGTCGATATCTTTCTTTTAACAACTAAACCATTCATTCTTGATACATTTTATAAGTAATCACCGAACATAGAAAATGACTTTAAACCTAATGTCAGTCAAACAAGAACACAAAAAATCTTTAAAAGCATGTGTGATGTGTTTTAACGTTAAGACTCTTCAAGTCAAGGACTTAGAATAGGTCATAATTGTGGTTGTACTCACCAACAAGCTTGATGAAAAAGAATATCACTTCAAACTCTTTTTAGAATCTCTAAATACTTTGGTTGACTTGTTAGTTGCTTCTAAAAGCAAGGAAATACATTAATGCTAAAACTACAATGAAAAATAGTCGAGGTGAGAGCTTTCCTCCACCTTGATAAGAAAAGGGGCAGAAAGATTAAAAATCTTCCAAGAGGAAAAAAGTTTAATAAAAGGTACCTTAAAGTAAGAAGCCCAAACAAAAGATACAATAACTACACTACATTGAATACCTTTTAAGAAAGAATTTTGAAGTAAATAGAAAGGGAATCTCAACTTAGATGGCTTAAGCCACTAAGGTAAAATAGCAAAAGAGACCTGACTAATAGATATGCATTTCACAAGAATCATGGCCTTAATGTCAAATGCTTTATTGACTTAATGGATGAAACTGATAATCTAATAAAAAAAAGTTAGCTCAATAGGTTTGTGGATAACATGAGACTAGGCAGCACAAAAAGAATTTTTTTTAAAAAAAAAAGAATAATTGAAAATAACTAGGAGAACATAAGATCATACAATGATCAAGGTTATACTGATCATAGCTCTAGGTCGAAAGACTAACGGGAGACGACGCAGGCAACTAACTTATAATAGGAATAATCAATGTGATTACTAGCGAGACCTTAGTATCAACTAAGAAAATTTTTTACTTAGGAACAATAATGCCCATTGGATCCACGACCAAAAAGCAAAAATGTTGAAAGGACGAGTCAATTTTATTTAGTTTGAAAAACTTAAAAAGGATTTAGTTTTCCCATGATGATACCATAGTCATAAAGCCATGATGTATAGTCACGTGGTAAAAATAATACTTTTTCTAATGGGAGCTAGACTAATGTCTTATACTACTTGACAATAAAAAAATTGAGGATTACCAAGGATATGCTAAGGCCTCTTACCACCATTTAAATTGGTTTAAAAAATGAACAAGTCCACGTGAAAAAGATTATTAAATTATTGATCACCTTGGGAATCAAGCACAAAACAATCACTTTAATGATTGAATTTATGGTGTTGATGTCTTTCAATTTACAACATGATACTAGATCGACCAAGCCAATCTGTCATCAAAATTGTAAAGTCAACACCTTATGTCAAAATCAAATTTCTTACTCCTTATGAAATATGAGAGATAATAAGGGGATTAGTCCACGACCAAGCAATACTATGTGACTACTATGAAAAAAAAAATTCAGGACTCCATAACTCTAAGCTCAGCTGCCACCGAGGAAATACATGACAAGGTAGATCTTGAAGTCAAAATACTATAAGTAAGAAAATCAATCTAATGATAAGAAGACAATAGCCAATTAGAAAAGGAAAAATAAATGAAAACAGAGCTTTTTTGAAAGCCAAAGACCTAGATAATCTTAAAGCTTAAAGACTTGTAAGTAAAAATTTTGGCATAAAGTTGAGCTACTAAGCCAACATTGAATTGAAAAATTACATTATGAATATGATATGTTAATTAAAGAAAAAAATTTTAATTGGGCATAGCTCATACTTAGCATCTTAATACATTTGCTTTTTTTTTTAGTATTCACACACTTTATCCAAAGTTAATAGGTAAATTAATAAAGTAAACCAATATACGTTGAAAAATGTTCTTTTTGAAAAATCCTATCCCAACTTGAGTTAGTTGAAGATCTTATACTTGTTTATTTTTTTCAAAGATAACCAAGAAAAATGTATGCATGTCAGCTTTAAGCTCGATTAAAAATATAAATTGGTTTAATTACTTAGAGGCAATGCTGATCTCTTTGCATGGGCCACCTCGAACATGCCAGTCATATACCTTTTAGTAATGGTGCATAAATTGAACATTGATTCAAATATGAAACTAGTTCAGAAAAAGAAGAGGTATTTTACCTCCAAGAGATAAAAACCAATAGAAGAAGAGGTCGAGAAGTTGCTAAAAGCTAGATTTATCAAAAAAATTTACTATCCTGAATGGAAAGCTAATGTAGTCATGGTGAAGAAACATAACAGCAAATGAAGGATGTGTGTAAATTTTACTGCTTTAACTAAGGCTTATCCTAAAGATAGCTTTTTTTTACCATGCATAGATTGACTGATAGATGATAACGTCCAACACGACCCACTGAGCTTCATGAATGCTTACTTAAACTATAATCAAATCAAAATATTAAAAAAAGATGAGAAAAAATAGCATTTGTGATTGAAAATGACTTGTATTACTATAGAATAATGCCATTTGACTTTAAAAATATAGGGGTTACCTATCATAAACTAATTAATAAAATATTAAAGGACTAAATTGACCTTAACATTAGGGTATATGTAGATAACATGATTATCAAAAGTAAGAAATTGGATAAACATCTAAATAATTTGGAAAAAATTTTTAACACCTTACAAAAGTTTAATATAAAACTCAACTTAAATAAGTATTTTTTTAGA